CTTTTAAGAAGAAAAAGTCTTGGGGGGGGGGGGGGGGAAGGAGCATAGTCTCTTCGTTTAATATAGCAGTTGGCAAAAAAGACCCTTAAAACCTTTGAAAATCCCCGGTATAGGCCATCAAAGCATTGTAATAAAATATCAAATTAATTCAGATAAAAGGATAATCCATCAGGGCCACCAACCTAGTAGAAGTGTAGTTTCTGTGTGATTAGTCTCACCACAGAAAGCAAGGATAAAGTTCCACTCAGAATGAACAATGAAATAGTCATATTTGCCTCTAGATATTTTGTCACAGGCGCGACTGCACGGTGCCAGTGTGTTAGCCATTGGCAAAATCCTGAGCCCTTAATAATGTCAAGAGGTAGCTGGTGCCTTAGACACTTTGTGATCACAAAATTGAATCCTGTTCCAACTAATGGTAACCCATCATGTCTATCCTCTTTTTTCCCCTTAAAACCATACTGACTTCATTGTTCCGAAGGATATAGCCAGGAAATTTGAAATTTCCTTCGTTAAAATAAGATAGGAACATGGATTTCTCAATATTCTGTACCAAAAAAAGAAAAAGCTAAGTGCTTTTTACTCTGCTAAAAATGTAACTTTTCTTGAATCTCTCTTTCTCTTAAATTTTCCGAAAATGAATATAATAAACCAGGAAAATTAGCCACCATAGGGCTCAACATTCTGGTGGACATTTGGAGGATATCTTCTGCCAACAGTATAAGAAATAAAAGACAGAAAGGGATGCCCCAATTTACCTCAATCCGAAGTGCCCTAGATATTCTGTAAAGTACAAATGGAAGATTTTCCACTGTGGTAATTCCCTACTCTGCTGCCAGGGGCTAAATGGGTAAAGGACCCCCTCCTGCTGTTCATGCCTGGGAAATGCTTACGTGAGAGACAGAAGCAATAACCATTCCATAGGGTTAGTGGTGATCAAGTCAGCTTACAATCCCACAAGAGTGGAAGACATTACTAAAGACACTGGGGCACAGTTATGCTGATAATGTCTGGTTTCTCCATTTACTCTGTAAATGAGCAATCTGATGAGAAGAGGAAGAGTGAGCCCCTCTTCTGATACTGTGAGAGGCTGAAATAAGTAGAGGCTAAATGTGGAGAGGTTGGTGTTATGCACCCAAGACTTGGATTTCAGCACTGATGCTTTTACTGACCGTGGAATCTTGGAGAGATTAGTTCATCTCTCCTAGCCTTAGTTTTCTGCCCCATAAGGATAATAATACTTGCCTTGAGAAGAGTCACAAGGGAGGAGGCGATTGAGCTGAGCTTTAAAGAGTTCATATAGTTTAGATAAGCAGAGATGTGCTTCCCAGGTAGCAGGCACAGAGAATAGAGTGGGATATCACAATGGGATAACCCAAGCCCTTCAGCCTGACAGAGGTGTGGTATAGATAGCAAGGAGCTGTAAGCCTTATGGCTAGAACTATCGGGTGGGCCCATATCATGAAGCACCTTTAGCATGTAGCAAAGGAGTTGGGGTTAATTCAGTAGAAAATGAGGACCCACTGAACTTGGGAAGAGCCATTCTTCAGTGTCAACAAAAGATACAGTGAACAGAGAGGAATAAAAATTAGGGAGAACCATGTCTTCGTTTGCGCTGCTATAACAGAATACCTGGGACTGGATAATAGAAATTTATTTATTATGGTTCTGGAAGCTTGAGTCCAAGATCAAGGTGCCAGCAGGGTTGGCACCTCGTGAGGGCCCCTGTCTCTCTGGTTTCATAATGGCATCTTGTCAATGCCTCCTCCAGAGGGAACAAACTCTGTGTCATCACATAGCAGAAGAGCAGAAAAGGGCCGACAGTAGTTCCCTCCTGCCCTGTATAAGGCACTAAACCATTCATGGGGCTGGAGACACCCTGACTTAATCACTTCCCAGCAGGCCCACTTCTTATTACCATCACAATGGGGATTAAGTTTTAACACATCAACATCGTGGGCCACTCATACCATGGCAAGCAGTGAAGAGACAATCACAATTATCCAGGCAAAAAATAATCTTGTTCCTAAGGGTGGGGGATAGATGTGGAAAAGCAAGTAAAAAATAGATGAAAGTATTCTGAAAAGAAATTAAAAAATAGTGGCAGGAGTGTAAGTGTGGGACACAAAGAAATGCAGGGTCATGGATGGTTCTGAAGGCTTCATGCCTGCGCCTGGGAGAATTCTCTGCTGTGATTAGATGACAGGAAGGCAGGAGGGAGAGCAGGGAACCTTGAGTGCAGTTTTGTACCTACTAAGTTTATGGCTCAGGAGGTTGGTCTAAGCTATTATACCTACCAAACTTGGAAACATGTAAATTAGAGTGGGAGGGACAAGTTGATGCTGGGAAATACATTTTAGGTCCATCATTAGAGTTTCAAGAGTGAATGGGATTTCCAAAGGGGAGAATTGTAGAAAGAGATTGAAAGAAAATGATAGGTGCGACAAAATTAGGAAAGAGCAAAGTTACTCAGAGACGTTATAAGGAAGAAGCTCTGTGCTTTGTATGTCAGACAGGGTAAAAAATTCCAGATGTAAGGGGACAGTGAGTGATAGGAAATACACAAAGATACCAAGAACAACATGGCCCCAAGTGGGGCCAAGAGCTATCCTGCTGCTGAACATCATTCCCTCTCAAGATGAAGGTATAAGCACCAATAATTACTTCAGAATATCCTCTCTGTAGAACAATAAGAGCTTAACAGTCACTAGCATAAGATTTATATAAAAGAATTATCGATTTAATTTATTTAATCAGACATTGGCAAAGTTATTAGCCACTACCTGTTACTCTGTAAGACATGAAAAAGCTGGAGAAAGTCTAATGGGGGCCTTTCCTCTCTGTGGGAAAGGTCATTGCTAGCTTTAAATATTGGATTTTAGAATGGTGCCACAGCAAATAGGTATATAACTCAAATTAGACTTCAAAAGGACTGATTTGCTTGAGATTCCATCATCTAAAATAATTTCTTTCAATAAAACTGACTCCGTGGAAGGATATTAATTGCATGCCATAATGCTTTTTCTTTAAATTGTTTTAATGGATATATTTGAATAGAATTTTAATTTTTCAGATAAAATTTTTCGTTAACTAAAAAGAAAATTTGAAGGATGATAGTAAAATGTTACAAGTCAAATTTAAGTCTTGGTTTTATTTTCTTCATTTGCTCCAGCAATAATAGCAACCAGTGATTGGTTTAAAATATATAATACAGTAAACTCTTAACATAGGTATGATTGGAAAATTAGATTATCTGATTAGTCAGGTATTATTGTTAATAGCACATATACTATCTCTGGGTCTCTAATTTAAAAAAAAATATGACACAGAAAAACCTCGTGAATCATTAGTAACATAAGAGATTCACAAATCCTGTGCTACCCTGTAGTCATCTTTTAAAGCACTAGTTACACTTGTTACAAGGTCATATTCTAAGCTCTTTTTTCCAGTAAAAGTGCATTTTAATAACAAAATATATGATTTGAGGATTCTCACTAGACTAGCAGAACTTCAAATAAGTCAATAATGTTCCATAAAGTTAATGTCTGTTTAATCATTTTTGAGAAGGGGATACTGACAGCATCTTCTGAAAAAGAGAAGCTTCAGAGAAGACAGGCGGGAAAGACATTTGGTACCTGGTCACATGAGAGATGTTGGGAGGCAGGGATAGCCCAGAGCTTCACATCTGCAGGGTGTATCTAGAAGGGGCAAGGGGACTGTTTCTTTGTTGCCTCCAAACATAGATCATGCAGCACAAGAAGAGCATTTGGAGAATGCCAATAGTTTTTTCAAGGTGAAAAGATAAGAACTGTTCGAGAATGGAGCAGGCTGCTCAGCCATTAATGCTTTTCTTATCCTCGCAAGTGTTCAAGGAAAGACTGGAGAATCACTGGTTATGTCCTTCCGCTTCAGAAAGATTGTACCTTGCCTGCTGCCCACTTGCCTCAAATGTGACACCAAAGTGCTCTGTTTATTCCTCTGCGATCACCGTGTACTAGAGAAATCTAACATGTCAGAGGAGGAAATGTCAGTTTAGCTCCTGGGGACTTTCACATCTGGGAGGAGTGGTGCCGCAGTTCAGAGCATCGGCAGCCTGTCATTCCCTCTGGGCTCCAATCCTGCCGGGGCACTTGCTAGCTGCAACTTTGCATAGGTGGATCTGGGAGGAGTGGTGCCGCAGTTCAGAGCATCGGCAGCCTGTCATTCCCTCTGGGCTCCAGTCCTGCCGGGGCACTTGCTAGCTGCAACTTTGCATAGGTGGCTTAACTTCCGTTTGCCTCAGTTTTCACGTCTGTAAGATGCAGATGATAGCGGTACCCACACCGTGGCTCTAAATGAGATTCTGTACGTAAAAGCAGTTAAAGTTGTGCCTGGCTGACAGTTAGTGGCAGCTGCCGCTGCTGTTGTGATTGTCGTCATTACTCACCAAAGGGATGGTTTGGTTTTGTTTAGATGAGCTGCTTCAGAAAGAGCAGAACTACTCAGATGATGTCTTGGCCAACATGATCAGTGAACCAAGAATCAGTTATGGGAATGATGCTCTGATGCCATCTTTGACCGAAACGAAAACCACCGTGGAGCTTCTTCCGGTGAATGGAGAATTCAGCCTGGATGATCTCCAGCCATGGCATCCTTTTGGGGTCGACTCTGTGCCGGCCAATACAGAAAACGAAGGTGAGAGACGGGGTGGGGCGGGGAGTGTTCTTGTAGATACACATGTATGTGTGCATGGTTTCTTTTTATGTTCTTGTGTGGTCATTTTTTTTTTTTTTTAGTGTAGTAATAAATATTTTTATTTCAATTTTATCTTGATGAAGAAGTAAATATTAGAAGCTACTATATAATCATTGAAATAATACTATATTTGTGTAATTTATTTGTTTATAATTTTTATGCTACAAAGCAAGTAAACTGATATTTGGAAAAGATGGCAGCCCCATTGTATAGGTGGCAAAACACAATGAAAGTGGTTACATAGAACCACTTTCAAGTAAAAGATATATTTCACAAATATCCAGGTTTATATTCTGGAGAGTATCATTCTTGGAGTTACCACGGCTATAAAAAGGGGGTTCGCAGTGTACTATTTAAGAGACAATTCTCCATGTGAAAAACATATGACAATAACATTCTTCTGATTTTTGTTTTCTCATTCTCTTAATATAAAACGATATATTTTATAATAATAAAAGTGGCTACATAAAGAGCATGTACTATGTGCCATATGTTCTTTTAATCACTGTTTTTCAAAGGAGGAAATTGAAGGACCAGGAGACCAGGTTCTTGAGTGGTGATTTTTGATAGGAATTTTAAAAAATACTTTCTCACTGAGAAATATTTTGTTTCTTCTGGAATGGAAGAAACAATATTCAACTTGTTTTTATGAGCTAGTGGCCTAAAATGCCCACGTTGGAAGAAAAGACACAGGTGATGAAATTAAGGAAATCGCAGTCTACCAGCAGAGAGAGTTGTTTTGATAGGGCCTATGTAAATGGGGATTTGACAGGCACCAAAGTAGTCTTTATGAGCTATTTATTTGTACCTGAAATTTCAGATTAAAATTTAAATGTTAAAGGCAAAGATAGAGAACCACATATAAATAAAATGTAATTTTGCTTAAGATTTAAATAACTTTGTGTTTAGGAAGTTAAATTTGTTATTTTTTGAAGAAAAATAAAAGAAAGTTAAATTTAAGGCACCTGTCAACATTAAGGAGCATGTTGGTCTAAATGTTTTTTCCTGTGATAGTTCACAGAAGTAAGATTTTTCTCTATCATTTAATTTATGCAGTAGATGATGTACTTTCACGAGGATTTCTTAGCAGAAATATCTAGAAGAGAGTTTGCTTTATCATTTTTACATGTTCAGAAGTATAAAATTACAAACACATGAACACCTTGATTTCTAGTTACTAACATTTTTCAAGAACACAACAGGATTTTAAAAACTCATGATTTTCTTTCTCGAAATAGCAAACTTTGATGGTGGTTTCATATTTGCAATATGATTACCTCAAAAAATGCAATCAGTGTACTCCTCAGACTACATTTAAATCCAATATTAGACCTTAAGTGCAGTGGACAAAGTTTTTTAAAGAACCATTGCAGAAAATGTTTATATAGACTGGCTTCATAGTGTGAGTTATCGCCCCAAATTTGTTTCCTTAATTTGAAAAGAGCACCTTCTAGGAATACCAGCAGATACGAACAGCAGTGTTCTTTATGACATTAAAATAATTGACTTCACCATTTATGAAAATAATTCTTAATCATGTAGAAGAAAAATTTTAAGAACATTCAGTTATCAAAGACTTGGTAACTTCCTTACTAAATTGTGTTATTACTAGAGTGCTTGTTGTGTTATTTTCTGTATAGGTAGACACATTTTGGCCATTTAAAATCCTCACCACTCAGATTCTAATGAGAATTTTTTGTGAAAAATGTCCGATCTCATTTTGTAAATTGAATAGTTATAACACCAGCCCTGGGAGACAATCTGTGCACACACACACACACACACACACACACACACACACACACACACACACACACACACGCCCTTGGGTATTCCCCAGATGTTCGTTTGGGCAAAGGCCTTAATTTAGTGCTTCTGGATCCTTGACTAAGATGCAGCTGTTACATTGCCGAGGCTTCATCAAAAGAGCTCCTGTTCTCCTTAAATAAGGATCTGCTATTGATAAACAGTGAAATCTTATATAACAGTATTGGTAGGCAGTAGTACTTAAGATCTCAGAGTTCTGAGTTGTGGTTCTCTTCATTATCAGACCCAGCACCCCCTTTTATAACAAATATTTTAAAAAACCTTCTCAATGATCAATCTTTAAAATTGACTGACAAGGTTTGGGAGAAAAAATCAATATAATGGACATAATTGATAATATGTATTTCACTGTGAAAGTGCTCAGGTCCAATGGCTAGTGGGAACAATGGCATAGCCAGGTGTTGGCCACCCGCCCCCCCCTGGATGGGGCAAAGTTAGATGCCGACTTATACAGGGGGCTGTTTCATTGATCCAGGTTCTGTGAGCAACAGAAGCGTCAGTGATGTGATTTTCCAAAATAGTGAATAATTCTTGGGAAAGCTGTAGATTAAATAATCTTCCCTCAATTTACCCAGTGGTGTGCTCCTAAAATATCCAGGTTACATTAAGAACTGTGCAGAAATGCTTATGTTTATATACATAATTGAGTTAGGTTCTGGATTCTCATTGGCACAAACATCCATATGTCCAGTGAGGAATTAGAAAACCATATAGAGTGCAGGAAATTTTACTCCTTGGGATTGCCTTGTTCACAGCATCTAACATCTCTCTCTCCATTCACAAAACGTCCTCCCTCTGGCCAGTCTTTGTGACAGCCAAAAACACTTCAAAATTCTCCACCATCCTGTGGGATAGTACTACCCCACACTCCTGAAGAAGGATCTGAGTTTAAATTCCAGCTCTGCTGTGTGATTATGAGCTAGTTATTTAGGCCTCTCTGGCTGTTTTCTAGTCTGTAAAATAAGGTTGATAATTTCTAACTCAGAGATATGGTGTGAGCATTAAATGAGCAGGTTCGAAAAGCTCTTAGCAAAGTGCCTGGAGCATAGTAAATGTTCAGTGATAGCTTTTTTTTTTTTTAAATGGAACCAGGATCTTATTAGAAAGACTTTATCAGCCAGTCTCAAGATGAGTCACCATATGGCCTGAACAGTGTATTCTTAAAATAAATGAATATAACAGACCATGTACTGATACAGTCCTAAAGTCATACCTCTTCTCCCCTCTCCATCTCCCACTCCCCAGAAACTTGTTCCTTGTTAATCTTTCTTTTTAAAGACGTGTGCTTGCACACAGAGCTATTGAAAATATCTAAAATTCTCAAAGGATTTCCTTTCATTGTTCATGCAGTCCTTATCATCATAGCTTCAAATGCTTACCAAAAATTTATTGTTTTTCTAAAGAACAATCAGTCAAGTCCAGAGGAAGCTTGGATGCCCAGCATTCTTTTAATTTATATTAAAAAGATAAGCTTATCACAGACACAGTTTTTCAACATCATAGGCTCTTGAACAGCTGTGATTTGCCTTAAGGAGTTCTGATTCATTGGTTTTTGAATACACAAAATCTAAATGAATGGCAAAACTAACATGAAGCTATTGTTATAGAACTGTTCTCATGGATCTAAAACGATCTGCCTGAAAGCATTTGTGTTTAGAGCATTTGTGTTTTTTCTGCTTCTCCATAACTTCCTGAGGCAGCCAGCCACACAAAGATCAACATAACATGCAGTAGCCACCAGTTGTGGTCAACAGTCAGCCTCTTTGTAAATACTACTGTTAATATTTTTAAAGAGACACAGCAGTTCTTATAAGACTGTATGTATTTTCAGAGTGAAGCTGCCTTCTGGTTTATTTTTAATTAATCATAAGAAGCAATGATGAAACCAATTTAAATGGTGCAATTGATATTAAATAAGTAATGTATTTTATTAAACCTGCAAACCAGTCCTTTTCAACCTCTCTAATCTGCATAAAACTGGTTTCCTGCTGATTCCTCATTACCTTAGGCTTGGTGGAGAGGTTGTGCAAGGTGGTACTAGCTTAGAATGGGTCTATTACAGGGAACACTAGAACTAACAAACAAAAATCTCAAGAGTTTCAATCATTCTGTTTCTGTCCTCTTGTGGGGAAGGATTTGATTCAGAGCTGCTGAGAGCAGAGGAGTCACATATTTTTGCTTACGTTTTCTTTTAACTCTTAAAGATAATCTATTTCTTCTGTTTAATTAACTAAACAGCCAGTGTAAAATGTTTTGAACACTGTATTGATGAAGTTACTTTCTGGTTCAGTAGTAATGGTCCATTTGAAAAATTAGAAAGTATTTGCAATAGATTGGGAAATAACGCACTATTTTGTCTTGCCAATGTGTATTCTTTTTGTGCAATGATGTTATCATTACCTTTAGAAAAAGCTTCTGATATCTGCTCACTGAACTCAAGAGCTACTTATTTTTTGGACATTAACTCGTACTAAATCAGCCTCAAACTGTTAAAGCAGGCTAGGGTTTAAGCCACTGAAACTATTATTGTTTAATCTTCCTAAAAAATATAAAAGATTCTTTTACTGTTTCAAATCATATATACCCATTTTTTTAAAAAGGCAGAAAAATTCATAGGAATAATCTCCTCAGTCGGAAATAACTAATAATAGCATTTTGTGGTAATGTCTTTCAGGCTTTTTTCTATGCACATCTGATGCTCTTTAATATTCACTTAAGTAATTGTGGAATAGTATCTTATCATGTGTAAGTTTCTTTCGCGTAAGAGTGCACTTTTGAGACCTGGTGGAAAAAAACCCTATTTACTTGTAACAAAACTGAGCTTCAGAAAGAATGATTTGCCCAAGATAACAGAACAAGGGTGGCATTAGCAGTAGACTCTAGGACTTCCAGCTCTTTAGCCTGCATCTAAACCACAGATACAGCTGCATCCCCCTCAGTGAAATATCTTTCTTTTTGGGGGGTGGCTGGCCTGTACAGGGATTGAACACTGGTCCTTAGTATATTTTCTAAAAACTTAACTGTTGATGTACACAACCACCTCAAGTTACTTGTTTGCTCTTGTGAGTGTGGTTTGATGTATTTTTGCAACTGATGCCCCATTTCGGGCCATTGTCACGAGGAAATTCTCAAAAAGTACCATGATCCTTCAACTAACTCCATTTTACAAGGGTCCTAAAGTTACTTACTACATGTTGTGACAGATGGGATAAAAGATGAAATATAGGGAAATCATACCTTATTCTTGAAATGTATTTGTGAGTTGCAGGAAGAAGTATGTCTTATTCTAATGCACAAATGAAGAGTCGTCGTCCTTGCAGCTGTGGTAATTATAGATTATTTAATAATAGGATATATAATAAATGCAGTTTTACAGTAGTTGGGAGTTTCTGAAACAAGCTTGAAAAATTACTTGTTCCTCACTACAATTAGAAGATACAGATGTTGTTATTTCTATTTCCATATGGAGAAACAGCCTCAGAAGTGGTTTTCTGCCCAAGGTCACAGACATTGCAAATGTGAGGCCTGGGTTTAGCTGCCTTCCCCTCCTTTCTGCTCTACTATGCTGCTGATTTCTACATGAGAAAGGACTGAACCACTTTCCTCTTTTTTATTTCATCAAATGTCCTACTGCTTCCCAAAATATTTTTTATATATTTTGAAGACTCGGCTTGTTGCCACTGTCTTCCCCCTCACTGTTCCTGTCAACGTGTAACATCCAGAATCGATTTCGGCTTAGAATCCCACCTTTTTTTTTTTTTTCTTTTTGTGACAAGTAAGGGGATGCAACCTTCGGCTCGGTGCTGCCCGCACCACGCTCAGCCAGTGAGCGCACCGGCCATCCTTATATAGGATCCGAACCTGTGGCGGGAGCGCTACTGCGCTCCCAAGCACCGCACTCTCCCGAGTGCGCCACGGGGCCGACCCAGAATCCCACCTTTGAATACGTGGCCTGTGTGCATCAGTCAGCTGTATGGTTTTATTGGAGTTGCCAGAAGCCATCGTGCCCAGCACACCTTGTCTCCCATCGACACCTGTGCTCTCTTTTTCTTCCCTTCTCACCTATGTATTTCCCAGGCCTTACTGAAAGGGCTTTTCCCCCCTCCCTTGGTGTCATTTGCCCCTTGACCACTTATTATTCCTAAAACCTTTGTTTCTCTCTCTCCTCCTTGTTTCTTCAAAGACCAGTATAAGTCTAAGGAAGTATTTTCTGAGAATCAGAAGCACTTTGGAAATGCCAGCCAACAGTAAGCAGTGGTGGGAACTATTGTGCCTCCTGCGCTGCTTTCTTTGGGTCAGACCCAGAATTATGTACAAAGGAAAAATTGTGAACGCTGACAAATATAAAAGGAAATACTCTCATTTCAGATTTTTCAGCTGTATGTCATCTATCAAATGGAAACCAGCCTTTAAAGACAAAAAAAGAGAGAGAAATTGGTTTACCTCTTCTACCCTCAAATGAAGGACAAATTTGATTCACTAAACGGCAGATTATGTGAGGGAACTTTGCTCTCCTGATAAATTTGTATTTGCGTTTCCCTGGAAATTTAACAGAGTCCTTTTGTAGTTAATTAACTGTAAAGTAAGATAAGATTAGACAGCTGTAAAAGGAGGTATCTTTAAGGTTTTCCACTGGGCTGAGTATAATGTATTTTATTTCCAATCAAAAGCCAAGAAACTATCTCTAAACTAGCTCAGAGCAAAATCCACCCTCCCCAACCCCTCTTCTTTGATGCTGCTGTTCATCCCGGTGAGTGCTTTTATTAGAAGACTAAGGAGCAGGATTGGCACATCAATAGCGATAAGCCTTTTGAAGTGGCACCCCTCCCGTTCCCTGATGCTCGGGATTAACTCACTGTGGTTCTTTTTCAGCTGCTCCTTTTTTATAGCTAGTTTATTGCACATGCTTTTTCCTGCTCTGTGTTCAGGAGCCACAACTTACCATCTTGATTTGTCTCATTTGCTTTCCGTGTCTCTTGCTTCCTGTGCCCAGTCGAGCCTGTTGATGCCCGCCCTGCTGCCGACCGAGGACTGACCACTCGACCAGGTACCCGACCCGCTGACCTCCTACCTCAGCATCTTGTGCTTGAGCTTGAGCCGATGTCACCTTCTTCCTTCATGACAAGCCTCTCCGTATTGCACATATTGCAGAATAGGACTTGAAATGACCTTAGAAACCAAACATTTAAAAATTCGCCTTTGCTTTTCTTTACACTCCATTTCTGTTTTTTGTTTCTGAGCTTTCCTTTTGAAACATAAAAGAGGACCTTTCTGTAGGGTTTTTTCTTTCTTTTTTTTTCTTTCTTTTTTTTAAAACTGGAGAGGGTTATATAGAGCTGACCTCAAAAATGGAAGCCCAGACAGATGAAGACTAGCTGGTGGTGACTGGTTACTGCTGAGAGCATCTCTTTCCTTTCTTGTTCAGTACCCAGATGGGTTCTTTTCTAACTAATTTGGGCTCAAGCTTCAATCAGTTACTGAAGTGGACATGATTTCCTGAAAATATCAGAATTTGGTATATCTCCAGAGCCAGAAATATTTACTTTTTCTCTTTTGTGGGTTGAATGTACTTATTCTCAATGAGTGGCTAAAATAACACAACAGATGTATATGCATAATTTTGCACATAGGCCCTTTATATTTTATATTACTTGCAAATCCCATTAACACTAAAATAGACACTTCTTTTTGTACAGTTTCCTGAGCACTGAGAAGAGACGCATTTTCACCCTTTGTCCTGTATTTAGCCTGTGGCTTGAACTTAGTTTTAAGAATAATGTCACACCACAGCCGAAGCACATACATGCCTGGTATCTACTCCAGGCACAAACCTGTCCCATCTGATAGTAGCTAGTGTTTTTAGTAAGTCAGAAACTAGAAAGTTATTGAATTGACAAATCTATAAATTCTGGTGAGATTTTACTCCCAGTAGCATCTCTCTTCCCATATTTATTTTCTTCTTTATCCTCACAGTGTCCCCATGTAATAGTCAAGGGACAGGGAATTAACTTTCTTGGAAGATATTAACACACGGAGATCAACCTGACTCGGTATAGAAAGCAGCAGAGCCAGAGTAGACCCTGTCTCTCTCACTGCAATACTGGCTCGAGCAATGACTGTCTCTGACCAGTCACTGTTGAAGATTCTGAGAGTCCTCCTTGTGGCGTCATCAAGCTCTTACGCTGTGATTAACAGTGGCAGCGGAGACAGTGGAGTGACACGTCTTGACAGCTGATCTTATGAATCTCTGTCTATAGGGCTTTCAAGGGAAACTTAAATTATAGTGAGTCAGAGACAGTTTCGGTTCTCCTAATGTCCTCCTTATTGTCAGTGTCACGTAAGTGAATTTCAAGGAGCCAGCAGTTGACATTCCCATTCTGCTCAGCCAACTGGTGAGGCCCAAGGCTGAGGGTGAGTTCAGTGCTAACTGCAAACAAAACCAGCTCAGGTTGGTCATTGCCTTGGGACTGTTTTTTATGATGCTTCCCACTTTATTTTTACACAAAGACATGCTTTCCATTTACAAGCATAAGATGTGATTTAGAAGCACTTATTCAACTAATTTTATTAAGTTCCTACGTGGGACTAGTTGGACCTATATTGTTCCTATTGAAATAAGAAGGGGTAACACCACCACTCCATTTCATTTACCTTTTTAAAAAAATCTTATATAAAAAGAATATTTTCATACACTGTCAAACAAAAATAATCTGTTTTAAGGGAATGACTAGAGAATAGTTAGTGATATTATATAAGTGGGAGAAAAGCATCTAAAATCTTTATTGTAATAAGAATATTATTTTATTTTGATATTTCACAAAGATTGATGCACTAAATTCCGTGGAGGATTGAAAGAAATTAAATAATAAGGTCCCTGCTCTCAGGAGCTTGAAGTATAATAGAAGGAAAACACTTTGCGTATTCAGAAGGATGAGATGGAATTCAGAAGGCAGGGAAATACAAAGCAACAGGACTGTAAAGGAGGATGTTCTGTGATGGGAGTAGGTGCAGTACTGACCTAGGGTGTGTTCACCAGGGAACTTGCTGGAGATGAACTTCCAGAGAGGTTGTGAAAGATTAGAGGCACACGGATTAGCAAAAAAGAGAGGAACAGTTCTATACAGATGAGAGAATGGCCTAAACCAGGCTTCTTTTAACACCACATAAGGCTTGTGTTTCCCAGTAGAAGATGGCCATAGATGGGAGAGAATGTGCAGTATGAAATGAGGAACATTCTAGTGAAGATGCGTTCATGAATAGCAATAATAGATAAGTATTGAGACATGCATATGCTCTATATTTTTGTGCTGTAGTGAGCCTATCAAGCATTTGGACTAATTTCCCCAGGTTTTGTGGTATTAGTCTTGGTTCTAAATCATCATACTTTATGAAACCACATACTTGAGTCTAATGTGTTGAATGATATCCTTAGACTTTCCAAATTTAGAGGCCCTTCCCAGTATTGTATGTCATTCAAGTAATACCATTGTTTTTGAATAATCAGTGTTGTCGATCAGAAACAAGTACGTAAAGAAAGGGTTTTTGTTTTTCCCCACCCAGTGCTGTATAATCATACTGAGGAGAATGATTTCTCCTTGATTTTCATACCTGCAAAATCAGAATGTTATAACTTCTAGAATGTAGTGTGTCACGTAAGGAACACAGTAATAACAGTGGTGATTTCTGGGCATAGTGGCCATTACAGCTAGTCCTCCTGGTTTATTTCCAGGGAAAAATAGACCCTGAAGGACAAGTTATACAGTTTGACCAGAGTAAAAAAGAAAAACACATTAGCAGGCTCTTCACAGGGGTCGGAAAGCTGTCTTTTCCATTGTGATGTGTTACCAACCTTCTCCAGTCCTAATAAAGGCAACCAGGCCCTTGACCCCAAGCCTTGAAAGAGTTGTCACGGAGAACACACCTCCCTTAGCCCCAAATGGACAACAGGTTCTCCTTACTCCTCATGACTTAGCGGAAGAGAGAAAGCTGGAGTCACCAGGGCTTACAGTAGAATCAACACAACTCAGAAAAAGGCCCCTTGTAGGCCAGTAAACAAAGGTAATCGTTTATTTAAAACTACTCGTTACATTTCATTTCACTCAATGTATTGCTTACTGATGATGTTTCCCTTTGTGCACAGAAAGCTGGAGTCACCAGGGCTTACAGTAGAATCAACACAACTCAGAAAAAGGCCCCTTGTAAGCCAGTAAACAAAGGTAATCGTTTATTTAAAACTACTCGTTACATTTCATTTCACTCAATGTATTGCTTACTGATGATGTTTCCCTTTGTGCACGCTTATTCATTTTTTCTTTTATAGCGAGATTTGCATAATGTATAAAAAGTCTTCACTAAATAACTATACATGCTAAACAAAATGAACTAGCCAGAGCTATTTCTGCTGAGAGTCTCTCAAACTATTGAGCTATATATACATGTGTTGACTTATTATATGAATTAGAATTTTTTTTTTTTTTTTACCAAAAGTACGTATTCTCAGCATCCTTTCAGAAATAGCATGGGCTTATAAAATTTTGAGTGGAGAGCTCATTCTGTACGTATTTTTTCAGTGTAATTATTTGGCCCCCAAATCAAAAAAGGAAGAGTATTTAAGAGAGTTTTCTTAAAAATTTTAGAAATGTAATTATTGCTTTGCTAAATCCTGATGACAGAAAAAGGGTGAGATATAAAGAAATGACCATGGTTGCATAAGGATCTCAAATTTAAAAGGGCTTATAGAAAGATAAAAAATATATAACCAATGAGAATTTAAAAGGAGTTAGTGTCATTGCCCTATAAAAATTAGCAGCAGGAAGTTAGAGAACAGAATGAGTTGAAACTTATGAAAAATGTCAGTAATTTTAAAGTAAAATAAATAAGAACAGATCTGCAACTCCTGGTGGAGGACAGGAGGTTGTTAGGTGAATAGGAGGACAAGGGCTAAAGAGGTGAGAGAGAAAGGGAAACTGCCCTGCTTTGATTGTCTTTCATGTCTGTATTAAAAAGAATGATCTGATAAAAGGAAATTAAAGCCCAAGATAAATCAAGAAGAGAAAAGAAAAAACTAGACCTTTGTATTATCTGTTGCAATGTAAGAAATAATCACAGAACTTAGCTGCTTAAAACAGCAAGCATTTAATTTTTTAGAGTTGTTATAGGTCAGGATTTGGGGCATGGTTTAGCTGGATGGTTCTGGTTCGGGATTTCTCATGAAATTGCAATCAAGACATTGCCAGAGCTGCAGTCACCTGAAGGCTTGACTGGGGATGGCGTGTCTGTTTCCAAGACGACTCGTTCACACAGGTCTTGGCAGGGGCCCTGTGAGCTCTCTGTAAGGCTGCTTGAGCATCCTTACAACACGGCAGCCAGCTTCTCCCACACCAAGAGATCCAAGACAGAAGAAAGAGGAAACTTCAGTACCTTTTAGTCTCAGAAGTTATATACTGTCACTTCTGCCACTTCCGTTAATTTAGAAGCAAGTTAGTTCATGAAAACAACATTCAAGGGAAGGGGACTGTGGATTTGTTTTAAAACCACCACATTTCTCTACCCAAGTTCGAGTCCTTAGGACCCAGACAAATTTCAGGCTAAGAGAATTTGAAGGAGAAATAGAACCATTGGGATAGGAAAATGTGGTTTTGAAAAGCAGAAAGGAGAGATGATAGCTTCACCGTCTACAAGCCAAGTGCAGTTTGACATTGATCATGGGTCTGTTTTTGGATAAGGTATTAAGTGGAATCTTTTTTGAGCAGTTGGACAAGGAAACAATGATATGTCACAACCAGCATGGGTTCCCTAGGTTTTGTCAGTTTATCCCCACTTTCTCTTTGTATAGGCTGTGCTGTTAGACTGGCACGTCATGTGCTGTGGACACTGTGCTTTTCAGCGTCAGCAAGGTGTGCAACAAGTTTCACAGCACCTTGTAGAAAAGATTGGAAGAGTAATTAGATCAAGAGCAAGAAATTACTTCCCGTAAGAGCTGCAGGAACTGGGAATGTGTAGCTCAAGTAGGAGAAGAACCAGCAGAAACATGTGACCTCTCCTTAGGTGTCTGATACCTGTTCAAAGTTATTATGTGGACAGGAAGGCTCGGCTTGCTCTGTGTTGAACTAGGCTCAAAGGGTAGAAATTACAGGGAAACTGATGTTGGCTCAATGTGAGCAAGGTCGTTTTAGCAAAGCTGCCTGAAAATAGAGGCAAATGGATATATTTTTCTGTGTTCAAGCAAGAGCTGAGAATCTGCCCTGGGTGGGAACACCATAGAAGAGATGACTTTAAAAGCCCTTCTCATCCTAAAATTCTAATATTTGATATTTAAATGCTGCAACATGGAAACTGATATTTATACTCTGTACTTTCATTTTTGTTTTAAAAATGATTGCATTTAATTTTTAAGCTTCAAATTATTCTTTGAGTAATGAAATCCATAACAGTTAGTGTAAGAAACATATAATGATTTGTAGAGAAGGAAGAGTTAGTAGGTTATAAATTGTTAGTCTCAAAGAAGCATTTTAAAATCATGTACTGCAGCTCTTTATTCAGCAGATGAACCAGTTACATTCTGTATCTATAACTAGAACACTTAACTAAATAATTATATAATTTTTACAATGCTTCACTGCACAGATACATGAACATAATTTATTTGTAATTGGAACAAAGCCCCAAAGAAGCAGTTTTATTTTACCAGGTAATTAATGCTCATTTTTAAAGCCTTTTGCTATTTTTTCTGAAGGAATGAGAGCACATGAAAAAAGACACATAATAGGTTAAACAATAAGCCTCTGTAAACCAGGCCAACACATTCTAGAAACAAAACCTTGCCAGCCTCCCAACCTGTATTTAACTTCAGTTTTTGCCCTTTTTCAAAAATTGCAGCATGTGTTTAAAGGCAGTAGAAGCCTTAAATTCAAATTTCTTTAATCTTTAATTTATTTTTGTTTAAAATAGGTAGTGGTTAAGGATTTAAGTACAGGGTGTCATTTTTCTTGAAGAAAGTCATTAATCTATTTTCTTCTAAGTGCAGGCCTAGAAAGAAGTTTTTGGTAGCCTGTGTCTCACAATGGTATGGTTTATAGGCAAAACTAATAGATTGTCCTGCATATTTTAATTATGATATTACGCAGGTTCCGGGTTGACAAATATCAAGACGGAAGAGATCTCTGAAGTGAAGATGGATGCAGAGTTCCGACATGATTCAGGGTATGAAGTTCATCATCAAAAACTGGTACGTAAAATAATTGACCTCTTCCCACTCTTCCGTTTGTCTTGCCAAATGACCTCTTAACTTGCTCATCCTTGCCAAGAATCAAATTAAGGAAAAGATAAAAGCAAAAATAAAATGCTTACCTATAGGATCATCAAGAAAATATGAAGAAAAGATAGAAGCTCTACCTGGAGTTTGTACCGACTAGAAGGCAGCTAAGCCCCTGCAGGACTTAAAGTGGAATTAACTTCATCATAGCAGCCACTTTAACTAACTTGCACTCTGTTTTCCAGGGTAATAGGTTTATTTGAAGGATGGGAATCTCAAATAAACACATGCAAACACTACTTGGTTTTACAGAACACTTTTTAGGACTGTTTGCTTAAGTTCACATCTGTAAATATCGCCCTTTTCTCCTTCATCTCTCCTTCCTGCCCCCCATCCCATTCCCTCCTTCACCTCCCCCCATTGAGGTTCTCTTGCAAGGGTAACATGGGAACTCTGCCGAGGTGGAGGCAGGAGGTGAGCAGGACACCATGATGTTCCCAATAGCGTCATTCATCAAAAGGTTTGGGTGAGGAAGACAGCAGCTTCCCTTTCAGACAGAATCACTTTTTCCCCTGATGTTACTTTTGGAACAAAAAAGCAACCATTTCCTTTGCAGGCAGCTCCAGTAGTTACATAAAATCCTTTACCAAAAGCTTAGAAATTCAGATAAGTCAAATCCTCGATTATGTTTGAGTTCCTTCCATCTTATCAGTAAGGACAGTAAGGGGGTTAAATTAATAAAGACAATTTTATCACACATTCAGTGGTGAACAAAAATAGTTGATTAGATTCTCATAGTAATATTTGAGAAGTACTCTCCCAGGTACTTCGTGTGTGTGTGTGTGTGTGTGTGTGTGTGTGTGTGTGTGTGTGTGCTCTTTTCAAGTGGAAAATATCTTTCCAGTGTTCATAAAGTTTATAAATCCTAGTATTAATTAAAAGAAATGCCTTGAAAGTATTATGTAGGCCTCTTTTCACTCTAAATAATTGTAGCAAATTAAAATCCAACTTGAGATTGAGATTGCATTTTAACTTCCATAATCTTTATTATACAAAAACATTTAGCCTTCTGAAGCATGGTTTTCATTGGCAGCTTAATCCAATATGAATTACTGTATAATCGGGTGTTCTTGATCTGGCTGATGCTGAACAGTTTTTTTAAAAAAAAAAAACTGGGGAACTGCTGAAGACTTGGGAGCTGGTGAGGCAGAAAGCTGAAGATTAATGTGCAGATTTGCATTTGCTGGTGCCTGTGTCATATAAGCCCATCTCTACAATTATACTAACTCCTATAATGCGACAGTGACTAATGGTGGCAGCAGTAATTAGGAGAATCAGCTCCCTTTACTGAACTAGTTGATAAGATAATGTAATATAATTAATGCAATGAATATTACAAAATTACAGCATTTTCTTAAAGACATAGGAGTATGTCTGGACTTGAATTTGTTCCTAATTACCTCACTCTAGTATCACTAGCTAATTAATGACTTACTTTTTATAAATATGTTGAGCTAACATATTTGTTTTGTAAGGGAATAATTATGAACAATTTCTAATTTTGTAGCAAATATACCATGAGTAACACCCTGTTAGAAATTTGCTTTAGGGCCGTCCCGTGGCTCACTTGGGAGAGTGCGATACTGATAACACCAAGGCCACGGGTTTGGATCTGAGTAACACCCTGTTAGAAATTTGCTTTAGGGCCGTCCCGTGGCTCACTTGGGAGAGTGCGGTACTGATAACACCAAGGCCACGGGTTTGGATCCCTATATAGGGATGGCCGGTTAGCTCACTGGCTGAGCGTGGTGCTGACAACACCAAGCCAAGGGTTAACATCCCCTTACCGGTCATCTTTTTTTTTAAAAAAAAAAAGAAATTTGCTTTATGTGCTATATTTTATATTTCCCTTTCAGGTTGCTAGGATGTTACTTTTAGCTATGAAAATCGGTCATTTTACTGTTTTGAAGTGGTATGGAAAGAATTGTTTGGGAGCTGTTTTCATTAACTTATACAACAAATGTGGTATATGTTTAATAATAGTTTCTTTTACTTGATCTACATAAGATCATCTCCTTATATAACAAGATGATAAAAATTGCAGCATGCTTCTGTAATTCCATTTATGTAGATAATGTTGAAAAATAATGACTTGCTTTTTATAAACAGTACAAATACTGAATAAATTTTTTCTTTATAATGTTCTCCAAATTTTTTATGTTTCATCCAAATAAATAAGAATAACATTTTAAGTTTTGGTTTCTGGAGATAACATAGTAAGAAAGTATGAGTTAGGTGTGACTGTTAAAATTCCTGTTGCTTATTATTTCTTCCCTTTGAAATAACATTATGCATTTAAAAAACATTACAGAGGGTCTTCGAAAAGTTCATGGAAAGATGTGTATGATCTTCTAATTCTATTTTCCCACAAACTTTTTGAAGTCCCCTCATAATGCTTCTCAAGGTTAATTAGAGTTTTACTGAATGACTGGCTAGAAGCAGATAACACAGCATCTTTTTTCTTCTATTTAACTCCCTTGTTTCAGAATGCATTCCTATGTATTAAAAATGTCCCTCCAAGAAAATGAGGACATCTACAGGTTTGAAAAGCACCTAAGGCTCAGTCACTTTTAAGAATCATGCATCAGGTCTCCCAGTTTTAAACCTGCTGAGACTGGGAAGGTGCTGACCTCCTTTCATAATCTTGATCCATGCTTTTTACAGCTTTTAATAGATCCGGGAGCTACCTTCCTGCCATTCCTCAAATGTTCCACTTGTCAAAGGGTTTCAGGTCCCTGCAGACTTCTATTTTGACATGTGGTGGGAAAGTAGACTCCTAGCACTGGGGAAGCCACAGGTTGTTTATCATTCTGTAAACTATGATTGTTATTTTTAGCAAGTAGAATATGTAATTTTTTTTTTCAAGTAAGCACCAAATTAAGTGATCAACCAGCTTAAAGACTAAGTTATGGCCAAGAATATACTAAAACTTTTCACATACAGTGTCTCCTGCAATTACAGTCCTTTTGCTTGATTTATTTTCAAGGTGTTCTTTGCGGAAGATGTGGGTTCAAACAAAGGTGCAATCATTGGACTCATGGTGGGCGGTGTTGTCATAGCAACAGTGATTGTCATCACTTTGGTGATGCTGAAGAAGAAGCAGTACACATCCATCCATCATGGTGTGGTGGAGGTAGGTGAACTTGGCTGCATGTTTGCAAGTGGGAATTAAAGGAAGATGGGAGGGATATGATGCTTAGCATTAGTCTGAAGATTGTCCATGTATCTCTTTGTAAAAAAAAAAAAAAAACAGGGTTTCAGCTATTCTTTTCTTGCTTTTGTTTTCATTCATTCCAACTTTTTGTGAATGCCAGGGTTGAGATTGCGTGTTATCTCAATTTAGAATTTGTATTTAAATTATCAAAATAATACTAATGATAATGCTTGACTTTTTAAAAAGTTGTGATCATCCTTAAACACTTTTTTAAAAAGCAAACAATAAAAAACAGTATCAGAAGTTAGAAATGATGGGCCGGCCCGGTGGCGCACAGAAGACAAAAAAAAAAAAAAGAAGTTAGAAATGACATATAGGAGGTAGCTTTTTTAAAAAAAAAAAAACTGAATGCATTTATTTATTCCCGTGTGTGTTGCTTTTTGGTTTGGGTTTTTTTTTTGTTTTGTTTTTGTTTTTTTGTCTTTTTCCGTGTCCGGCAACGGATCGCAACCCTCAGTGTTGCCCCCGTACCGGACCGGGGACCGGCAACGGGATTGCAACCCTCGGTGTTGCTCCCGAGCCTTGCTCAGCCAGTGAGCGGGAACCGGTCTGTATGTGGGATCCGAACCCTCGGGCGGGAGCGCCGCCGCGCTTCCCAAGCGGCACACTATCCAGTGCGCCACCGGGCCGGCCCGGTTTGGGGTTTTTTTGGTTGGTTGGTTGGTTGGTTAGTTGGTTGGTTAGTTGGTTGGTTGATTGGTTGGTTGGTATTAAATAGTCTTGCCTCTAAGTAAAACCAGGTAATAATAAATAATACTAACTTTCAGTAAAGACTCTTGCCTTTAAAGTTTTACAGCAAATCACATTGTACCAAACAGCTCAGCAGAACATGCATGTTTGTTATCTGAGATGTTCTTCAACCTGCACTTCCACCCGAAATACCTTAGTTTCAAGGTGTTAGACCAGTAGCACTGGAGGTGGAGAGAAGACACACAAGTGACAGTGGCAATTACTGCACAATTATGCCTCCTTTAGAATCTTTCTCTATAGGCTAGTCTGCTTAACAGGAGTGTACAGCACAGAGTAGTGGATTACACCAACAAAACAAAGTAGCTACAGGATTCAGATATAACTTCTTAAATTCATGATACGAGCCTTTAGAATCTTTCTCTATAGGCTAGTCTGCTTAACAGGAGTGTACAGCACAGAGTAGTGGGTTACACCAACAAAACAAAGTAGCTACAGGATTCAGATATAACTTCTTAAATTCATGATACGAGAAAAAAAAAAGACAGAAGGAGATTTACAAACAAATTTCTTTTTATGCATTTAAAATATAGTTTTGGCAGGGAGAAAAGATCTCAAAGTATATGCAGCCTTTTAGGAAAGTGTCTTTTGGAGAGAGTGAATTAATACATTTTGAGTTCTAGAATTTTTAAAGCTGAAAGAGATCTCAATGATCAATCAAATTGGTTCCATTTTATAGATGAGAAAGCAGGCTGAGACAGAAGCATCAGCCTTAAACTAAGTAGCATCTAGGTCAGAGTCCAGATTTCCCCAGATACTACCCATTGCTTTTTCCATCAGAGGAAAGTCCAGATACTTCCAGTGAGTTAAACATCTCATTAACCCCAAGGAAATGCGCTCCAAACCATTCTTGATATAGGAGGGCCAGAAGCGTTTAAATAAATTAAATTTGTAGCAAAGCCAGAAATCTTATTTTGTTCAGCACTTAAAATCTCTACAGACTACTTGTTTACAGGAGTTACTGATAGAAATTGGTGTTGAGTCTTATTTCCCCAACCATCTCGTGTGATGTGCTAATGGGTAGTGTAATGAGTGAAACCCGGGAAACAACAGGTAGCACGATGAAAAAGAATTGAATGATTCACAAATAAAGCCATGACTATGTCATCAGGTTTGTGGTGTTGATCTTTTTATAATTATATATCTATGCTGCGTCCCTTGAAAACGTGTAAGGTGTATTATTATTAGAATTGGTTTTTCTCATTTCTTTTCAAATAAATTTTTAGTTTCATTTTTAATTCCATGTTTGGGCAGATAAAAAATGTTTTCATACCTGAGTAATTGAAAAGCCCCTTTTAATTTCTTCAGTATAATTGTACCTTTTAATGGCCTTGAACTGATTAATCTGCCCAAGAAGCAGCTTCCAGTCTGCAAAATTTCTTTCTGTTGAAGTTCCTTCTTTGCCAAAGGCCAAAGAGCCCGTATTGGTTTCCTAGGGCTGCCATAACAAAGTACCACAGACTGGGTGGATTAAACAACAAAAATGTACTTCCTCACCATTCTGGAGGCTAGAAATCTGAGATCAGGGTGTTGGCAGGGTTGATTTCTTCTGTGACCTCTCTGCTTGACTTGTAGACGGCTGTCTTCCCCCTTTCCTCTGTGTTTTACTGTGTCCTAATCTCTTCTTATAAGGACACCAGTCACATTGGATTAGGATCCACTCTAATGACCTCACTTAACCTTAATTATCTCTTTGACTGTATCTCCAAATACAATCACATCCTGAGGTACTGGGAGGTTAAGACTTCAACACACAGATTTGAGCGGGAGCCAGCTCAGCCCATAAAGGAGCCCAGGAATGCTGAGCAGAAAAGCAAGTCTTTACCAGGAGCTGCCTGCCCTGGCTGTGCATGAGATTTGCCAGGTACTTTTCTAAAAGGACACATCTTCAGTTCCCCCCTTAGACCTAGGGAAACAGAATTCCCAAATAGGAGGCTGAGAATCTGCACGTTGAAAGTTTCCCCAAGTGAATAAGACATGTGGTCAGGTTTGAGAACTGACACACAGCATTAACACTTCTTCCTTTTAGTTGCTGTAAGCAAACTTTAGGGAGTAAAAAATGTTATCTCGTCTCTCCAAGATAACTAGTTGCCTTTTAAGGGCTCTTCCAGCTGCCTGGGCTAATGTTTCCTTTGGTCAGTTACCAAGAAATGTGTTCTTAAACTTGGAATGTCAGAGGAGAAGAAGTTGACATGACCCAGATTCTGAAAACGTATTTTTAAGCCAGGAGGTGCCCTTGCAGGAGCAGAATCAGAGAGAGAACAGTTGTTCAGCTTTTGTCTGGATATGCGTTTTCTACTTGGAAGCAACTAGAAACCTCTCTAGATTGAGTGCTCCACCTCGTTGTGTGTTTTGTTTTATTTCCTTTCACTTCCTTCTTCCTTATAGAGGAATGTCATAGAGAGCCTGGAAACGATCCCCTTTTCCCTTTCAAGGCCTTTGTTACTGTCCAATCCGTAAGCAAGCCCTTGTCTATCTCCACGTTCAATCTGTAGAGCAGTGTTGGAATAGAACTTCATCTGAGGTGTCGTTCCTCCTTCTCCCACCCTCAAGAAGGTGTAGTCTCACTGGGCAGGTGGAACTTGACCAAGAGCTGCAGCCAGGCTTGGGCAACACATGTTCCTAGCAGAGATGTAGTGCTGCAGGGGTTCTGAGCACACCAGAGTCTGCACTGAATGGAAGGGATCCTCCTGCAAACATTCTCTGCCGAATTTAGTGGGCTCTCTCAAATTCAGGTGCATGGAAATGCCTTTATTTCCAGCTCTGGTTAACCTTCTTCATGAATGAGTAACCCCACTTCACTAAGAACAAAAATGACCAAGTGAATATGTCCAGTTGGACTGGCCTCATTCACTCAGGACAGATTACCATCGTACCTCACACCAGCAGTGCAGGAAGAAGTCAGGAAATCTCTTGCTCTTAGAGTGAAAGAGTCCTGCAGAAGATTTACAGGGATAGGAAGCCTAGGAAAAAACCTGGGGGGGGATGCAGCGATTAAAATGAGCATAGTGTTTTTATTAATAGGGTTGTTAGCAGTTGGAAATGAGCAGCTACTAGTTTTGTTTTGTTTTGTTTTGTTTTGTTTTGTTTTGTTTTGTTTTGTTTTGTTTTGTTTTGTTTTGTTTTGTTTTGTTTTGTTTTGTTTTGTTTTGTTTTGTTTTGTTTTGTTTTGTTTTGTTTTGTTTTGTTTTGTTTTGTTTTGTTTTGTTTTGTTTTGTTTTGTTTTGTTTTGTTTTGTTTTGTTTTGTTTTGTTTTGTTTTGTTTTGTTTTGTTTTGTTTTGTTTTGTTTTGTTTTGTTTTGTTTTGTTTTGTTTTGTTTTGTTTTGTTTTGTTTTGTTTTGTTTTGTTTTGTTTTGTTTTGTTTTGTTTTGTTTTGTTTTGTTTTGTTTTGTTTTGTTTTGTTTTGTTTTAAATAAGCAGTAAGTATTGATTTGCTCAGCCATGAGGCCAGAGCTTCATTCTGTAAGCCATTAGCCATGCTTTCCCGAGGAGATGACTGTGCTTTATTGGTGCCTCAAGCAGTGAAGTGATGGCCCTTCGCTGTGCTGGTTCCCAAACATGCCCACCATGTCAGGGTGTCTCTTTGGTGGCTGAGAATCATTTAGGCCACTGAATTATTAACTATGGCTTCTGTTTTGTATCATCTTACAAAGCCCAGTGACCCCAGGTTCTGTTTAGTAGCAGATGGCACTTTTCTACATTGATGTACATAGACACTGGATATTTGAAAGTGTATATTGTCACTTTTTCTGCTATTCCTCCCAGATGGAGACATCACCTTTATTAAAGAAGATGGGGGCACAGATTCTTTCTTTGGGGGCTGGGGGCGGCTGGCCAGTACAGGGATCTGGGGGGGCACGAATTCTCTTTATTGCAGGGTATAAAAAAGTTTTTCTTTCATGGATCTGATAACTGGAACACCAGATGTCTCCCCACCCCCACCCCCATGTCCCATAATGACCTAAAAAAAAGGAGAGTTGCTTATTTATTTAGCTTTTTATGGAGTTATAGCATATGACTTTTCCTGAGGAATGTGCTGTCATACTGGTGACTTTATAAAAATATGTTCTTAGAGGTCCTTTCTTCCTGGCAAGAAGTTGACCCACCAGGATGGAGGCCCCTAGCAGCCACTAACGTGCTGTTGGAGGGAGTGTTCAGGTTAAATGGGAAG